CAGCACTTGGGAAACAGAGGCAAGAGGATTGATAGTTCAAGAATAGTTTGGCTATGTAGCAAGAAACTGCCTCTCATATAGAAAAATTTTTAACTCCCTATTAGTTCTAAAATTCCCAAAACACAGTGAAATTAAAACAGGTCAACAACAATATATAAAGCAGTCCTCAAATCTGAGCATGTTGCATTGCACAAAACAGGGTCAGAGAAGCTGTTCTGGTAGTTTCAGCATTTTAGCAGCCTAGGGCAAGTCATGGAATTCCAAAATCTCAAGTGCTTCACCAGTAAAAATGGGAATAATATCATCTGCTTTGAAGGTTGCGGAGAGGATTAAAGAAAGCATTGCTATGTGCTGAGGCAATCAGTGGATGCTTGGCCATCATTTTCTCTTTTCCCATGGAAAACATATTAAAGATGGTAGACATGCTGGTTAGTTTCCAGATCAACCAAAGAAAAATCTATCTAAGCCTCACGTCCTTAGCCCTAAAGCCAAGATGGCTCAGTCAGCATTCAATGACTGTTTACATTCCTGGGCACTGGGCTCTAAGGGTTTTTTTTTCCCCCTCCATAATTCGAGAGAGCAGTCTGTGGAAAGTGACAGGTAAATATACAATATGAAGTAGCAAGGTCAAAGGTAAACCATGACTATTTAAAGGGGTGCTTACAGGCTTAGGGTCAGGAAATACATTTGTAAAAAAGCTGCTTTTTTATTCCCATAGGTTACCTGACTCTGGGACACTTCCTTGAAAAGCCCGTGTTAGAGTAAATTAGACTTTGTCAGAAAACCACAGTCATCCAGGTACAAAGAACAAAGAAAAGGTTTATTGCCAGCAAAGGGACCAGCAAGACCCCCTCTCACACGAGAGAAGTGAGAAGTGTTGCCGGAGGTGACCTAAAATCTAATGGACCTAGGAGGGCTTAGGAGGCGGAGACCCTGGTGTGGACATGTGGACCAGGAACTTCATCATGGCAGCTAGGATGTATGACTGCTGCCTAAACAGTAGGTAAGGGGTCCTGCAGATTCCCAGACCTGAAGGTCACTCTAAAGGGATCTTGCTGCTTTATATGGTTGTAGCAATCCCAAAGGTGTGCCATCTCCAGGTAAGGGGCGGGGGGGCGGGGGGGGGGGGGACCTGATTATTTACTGCCTTTACTAATTGGGCTGAGTGTCTGCCTTGGAAAGGAGAGAGGGGGCTATTGGGCTAACAGCCTGGAATGGTGGATTTGTCTAGAATTTAAGAGCAGAGAACACTGAAAGGAGAGAAGAGAAAATAGAAGTTTTAAGTCCATTTCAGAAAAACAAATATTCTAAGTTTCCTATCACATGTGGAAATTAGATCTAAAATTATATATATATATATATATATGTGAAAATATATTGAGGGTCATATGTATGTATACATATGACAACTTGATTAAAGTATAGATTCTTGATTAATCCTCGGGATGAATCTTTGAAGGTATGGGTGTGGTTGGGAGAGCTGGAGGACAATGATGGGAGGAGTGACATGGATGGACATGCATAGACTCTTAAACTGACATGTTAATTGAAACTCTTGTACAACTACTTAAAGATCTTTTTTTTTTTTTAAAGAAAAAGGACCAATTTAGAAGAAAATCATGCAAGCCACATCTGTGATACAGTTGGAGACAGAAAAAGGACTCCAAGTCTCTCTCCCTTAGAATTGCCTGGAAGCTTGAAATGACGAGAAAGTCTGGGTAAACTGCACTAATCAAAAGAGAAAAGGCCAAAAGGTGGGCGTGGGGGGACAAAGCCACCAACTCAGCAGTAGGGAAGAAAGGAAATTCCTGTGGGTAGACTGTCAACCAGGCCCTAGAAGGCTCTTGCCTTTGCTATGCTTTTCCTTCTTCATGGCATAAACCACCTTATTACCAAAAATTCTCTGATGATGGGCTCCTAACCAGTCCCTGCCTGCAGACTTTGCTTTCTTAAAATAATTCTATATAACATCACAAAGCCTGCATTCCTAAAAAGACTCGTTAAATCTTAAAATCCCCACACTAAAGCATCGGTAAGAACTCTAAATTACCTCCTGGATTAAGTTCATACTTCAGAGTAGTATTTGAGACCTTCAATGCCGTTCAAGTCAGTTGCCAAGTGTAGGTAAACAGTAGAAGGTACAAGAGTAGCAGCGAAGGAGGAACACATGAATCCATGGAACAAGGAAGAAATCAACCAGTGAAGTATTCAAGGGTGGGTAATTTAATTACAACTAGGGAAAAGTGATACCTCAATTCCAGAATTCTCCTGGGCATTGAAGGGAGAGGATAACCTCAAACAGCAGAGGTGGGTGAGGTAAATATTTTCAAATGAGAGAATAGGAAGGGCAAAATAGGTAAGATATGCTCAAAAAAAAAAAAAGAAAGAAAGAAAAAGCTAACTTTCTTGTGTAACTGAATGAACTATCTTTCCCATAACACAACAAAATGCAAGCAATCTCAGATCACACTGCCTGGGTTCAAATCCTGACTCCATCATTTGAAACTGTGTATAGTCTTGGACAAGTAAGTCACTGTTCTCTGCTTCAGTTTTCACATTTATAAAACAGAGATGTTAATGCCAGGACTGACGACATAAAATCACTATGAGTCACTGAGAGAAGCCCCCTGGCCCATGTGAAGCACACGATGAACGTTAGTTGTTATGGTACAACAAAGGGAATTTGGGGAAAGTAATGAGAGACATAGTGCTGCAAGTGCCTGGAACTTCAACAAACTGTATCACACCACTTGAGACTGGAGCAGAGAAATGACTGAGTCTAATGCAGCACCAAGGCAAGCTAATGATACATTCCTGCAGAGAATACACAGATACCTGTGACTGTGTATAAAAGAATTTCATTGATAGAAAAGTACATGGCACTAGAAATGGTCCTAGAAAGATCTGGGGTGGGGGTGGGAGGCAAAGAACTGTAAAGACATTACCAGAAGAAATATGTCAGGATAGAGAGGAAGATGAAAAAGAATATCCTTTTTTCAAAGCAACTCAGAAATCTAGGGGTTCAGACACACTGTATTTGGTTTTGTTATTCTCTGAACACCTATAGTATTTATGCATAATCTAAGAAGATTATTATACAAGTCCATTTATGTATTTCTCACCAGCTACTTTACATATTCAGTAAACTCTGAGACTTCTTTCCTAGTTGCATTGAAACCAACACTAAGCAATCAGTCACCAGAGGAAAGACACCAATGTTTAACAGTTTCAGTAGCTCCAATGGTTAAATAAAGCCTAAGTTTCCTTTGGTAGATTACCCTTTCAAGATGGATGACAGAAGAGCATAAATCCATTAATGAGGAAACTTGAAATGATGCCAGGTTAATTTGGGTTCCTCTGAGCTTCAAAAGCCAGGAACACACCCACGAACTACAAGTGGCCTGTTCCCTTAATCCATGGATGTAGCTCACCAGCTGCCACCCTGAGGGAGCATGCACAGCATTCATTAGGCTGTTTTGTGAATTTGCTATTTGTAAAGGCGAAGGCAAGTATAAAACAAAAGATGTCTTTCCTCTGCTTTTATATACCCACTCTCACCTTATGTTCCCTACACATAACACAGCTATTGCTCAAATCCACTCGAATTTACCACATTCATTGTATTTCTAAGTCTTTAAAAATGTAATCAAGCCAGGCACTAGTGGCTCACACCTGTACTGTCCTAGCTACTGAGGAGGGTAAGGAAAATCTGTGAGACTCTTACTGACAATTAACTACCAGAAAACCAGAAGTGATCCTGTGGCTCAAAGTGATAGAGTGCTAGCTTTGAGTGGAAGAGCTCAGGGACAGTGCCCAAGCCCTGAGTTCAAGCCCCATAACCAACAACAACAACAAGAAAGTAACTGAATAATGTCTAGCTAAAGGTTTTAATAAGCTGACAAAATTGTTCTTAGATATATATTTGTAAATACACATGGGAAAAACTGAGATAAGATTTTCTGTAAATGATAACATTTTCAAGTTTTTTTCTTTTCCTTTTTCCTTTCCTTTCCTTTCTTGTGTTAGTCCTAGGTTTTGAACTCAGGCCCTGCGTGCTTTTAGTTCTATTTGGCTCAAAGCTGGCACTCTTATCACTTGAACCATAGTTCCATTTCTGGCTTTTTAGTGGTTAATTGGAGATAACAGTCTCACAGACTGTCCTGCATTTTTAAAGTTTCTACAAATAACAAAGTCAGGAGAGTTGTTTTTTTTTGTTTTTTTTTTTTTTTTTTTGGGGGGGGGGGGGGGGTGGGCGGGGTGAGAGCGAAAGAGAGAGAGTAACTGAGTCCCCAAAGTCTAGACATTCAAAAGTATAAATCAAAATTAAAAAGTCACTAGAGCCAGGTGCTGGTGGCTCACACCTGGCTATAATTCTAGGTACTCAGGAAGCTGAGATCTGAGGATAGCCAGAAAGTTTGAAGCCAGCTCAGATGGAAAGCCTGTGAGACTCTTATTTACAACTAAACTCCAAAAAGCCAGAAATTGAGGTGTGGCTCAAGTAGTAAAGCACAGGCCTTGAGCCAAAGAAGCTCAGGGACAGTGCTCAGGCCCTGATATCCAAGTCTCAGGACCTGTACCAGAAAAAATAAATAAATAAAGTCACTAGAAGGTTCAAATTGATGGAATTAAATGCTATCTTGAGATCAGCACCTACCACATACATCAATTTCTCTTGATGGTCAGTTAATTTCCTGGGAAAGGGAATGGTATTTGATTATCCACAAATACCATAGATCTATGCCACAAACCTCCAATTGGTTTAGGTACCATAAACTGCTGAAATGTAGAGTACTCTCTAGAGACACAGGTCATGGGGTTTTCTCTAGATCCATAAACTCAGAGTGAGAAGAGATGCACTTCCTCTAAGATACATCAAAAGAAAACACATGCTCAGCTTGTCCTATAACAGCTAAGAACTAAAAGCATTGTTCCCAGATTTAAACCCTTTGGTAGCTGAGTCCTGCTGATTTAAAAAAAAAAAAAAAGCCCTCCACACTCACCTGAGACTTTGAGACCTCTCTCTGTAGTAAGCTTCTCTCTTCAGCAGAGTCAGACAGTAAATCGGGGCCAGACATGGAGGAGAGTGTGGTTTTAGGAGCAGCAGCCTCCTCTTGGGAGAGAGATGAGAAAGACATGGGAGAAGTCAGCCTCCCCGTCACACCTACTCCTGTGGCTGCCTCCATTTCACTGGACATGCTGGAAACAAGCTGGCTTGTGTCAGGCTTTGGGGCAGGGGTGCTGGCCAAATTGTGCTGAGTTTTCTTAGCTCCTTCTACATCCCCATTATACTTCCAACCATCATCCATCTAAATGGGAAACAACATTTTTAAACTTGATATTCTGTTGGCTTTTCTTTTCTGTTTTAAAAAAAGATACTCATGAATATTTTAAAACTACTGAAGTAACATATGCCTCTCACAGCAAAGTAACTACTGTTAAAACCTTGGAGTACATTCTTACACCCCAACAGGTAAACACTTACATAGTAGGAAGAATCGTTGTTTTTAATTAAAGTATTACTATATGCATACTTCTGAAAATTGCTTTGCTTATTTACATTACCCTAAGTCAACAGGAACTTTAAGTCAGGTTCTTTTAGTTATAGACTTCCTAGCATGAATATCAGTAGTCTATTCATTTGATATGCATTTAAAGTTGCCTATTTTCAGTCTCTTCCCAAAATTATATCTAACTCTCCATAGATCTTTAGAACTGGAACTTGATATTTTAATAGCCCAGATCTCCCCTGCCCCAAATTGCTGGATCCAAGGTTTTATACAATAAAATTTCTGAATATTAAGTTATGGTAACATATAAACATCCATTTCTCCCTGCATCCTCACCAACACTAAGTATTTCCAGAATTTAAATGTCTGTAACCTGATGGGTAAAAAGTCCTATGCCTCTTTCTTGTTTTAATGAGACTGAAGAGGCTCTGTATATTTTATGTTATCAGCCATTCAAATTCCTTCTCCCTTGAATTGGCCATTCACTTCTTTTTTTTCCAAAGTTGAATTATTTCTATCCTAGTGATATTAACCCTTTATTTATGATACAGTGTGTGTGACAGCCCTCTTCTCCATCATCAACCATCTTAACTATGCTGATCATGTCTATCCTATAAACTTAATTGTTAAGTCATCAAATATGTCTGTATTTCTCTCTTTAAAGAAGGGAAATAGAAGTTTCCTAATTGCCCTCACCACAAATACTGAAATTTTTTAAAAATAATTTTAAGGCTGAATATTGGCAGAATAGGAATGCAAACATGAATCTTGAGACTGTGTTACTTCATTTCCCAAAATAAAAGTTCACAAGGGCCACTTCATAACCAGGAAATAGGCTGCACTATTCTGCATGCTTTAAAATCCCAATATAAATAGAAATGTGTATATCAGAATAAGATACCTTAGTCAGAATACCCAAATATATCAAGTTCTGAAGTGGGAAATCCAAATTTGTATAGCAGCTCTTGAAAAATCTTTCGATTAAACCATATAAAATGACTGTTTGCATAGATCAAAAGGAGATGACTGTTGTCAATTTAATATTGCTTAACCCAATACTTTACAACAGCTATATTTGAAAGAAATTCTAAAAATGCATGCTTTGCCTTAGAATAAGCCGTACTCATTCTTTAAAATATTATCAGTCCTACTTAACTTTCAACATCCTGCACCATTGCTGTTTTTAAGCATTAAGTTTCTATTGAATATAAATGGGCATACAAATGCTCTATAAATATATATACATATATCTTAGATATTTTACACATAAGTATTTCTAACTCCAGCCTCTGGACACATTCCCCAATGTTTTACACTTCAGACCAAACTAGATGAACCAGGAGCGTTTGTTGTTTTTTACCGTGTAGGATCTGGGGAGTGATGAGATTCCCCTTGCCTGAGTGCCAAAAGGTCTCGGTGTGACCACAGATGTTAACCTGGCTGTATCAGTTTTCTGGTAGCTTCTGGGGAGAGAGGCTGAAGCTGAAACTCGAGTCACCTCCATTCGTGTACTCAGTGAATGCTGAGAAGACAAAGAAGCTGAGCGCTGTTCTACTGCTGGGGGGTTAGAAGGAAGCCCCGTTTCAGTAGCTACACTGTCCTGCATGTTCAGGAAACGTGTAGAGGCTTCTTTAGGAAATTCAGTAGGAAAAGTTGTTCCCTCCTCTTCTGCTCTCTGGCTCTGGTAACTGGTTTCTGACAGAGTCAGTGAAGGAGAGAGCGCTTCATCATTTGGTATATCATCGGAAGAATACAATCTCCCACCAGATGTAACTGTAGAATTTTGATTTCGGGATTCCCTTAGCAAAGAGAAATGCACCATCACCAAAGAGTTATGCATTTAACCCAGAAGTAAGAGACAATTACTAATGTTTAAGAGGCCAGGACTCACAATAATACAACACTAAGAGTAAAATGATATATAGTTTTCATTGCCACAACTAAAAAAGAACTTGACCTTTATTAGGAAAGAGGCTCTCAAATACTTTACAAAGATTTCTTTAGTCATGACAAGATTTTGGTAACAAATCAGGGAATTTCTAACAAGGAATTATTCAGTTTTATCCCCTAACCCTTCAAAAAATTAGAATATTATATATAAGTGACTGACACCCAATTTGAACCCTGCAGGGGGGTAGATTCCTTGATCACATTGTCATTTTCCTATATAAATTTACAATGTATGAGTAAAAATAGAATAGCACTTAGACTTAGGCTCTGATAAAGATCCAGTGTATGATGTCATACATTTTGATTAAACCTCCGTGGATAATTATTATAAGTTAAAAGTCACTATTCTTAAAAAGTTTTGTATAAAATCTTTCATAGTTAAGCGAAATGAACCCCAAGACAGGGACACAAATAGTTTTATTTTTCTTTCTTGCTATTGTTTTTAACGTACATATAACGTACTATGTTATTTTTTTTTTGTTTCTTTGGTATGTTCTTCCCCCATAGTATAACCCCTGTTTTCACTGTATTTGTTTCCTGTGCCCTGCATCTTGTATATACACTTTTCTAACTTGGGGAGGGGAAGGGAAATAACAAAATGCTTAAATAGGGATACAAGTTGACCCATTGTAACAGTGAGATGTACAAGACACTATGTTGAAAACAAACTTTACAACTTGGGGAGGAGGTTGGGGAAGTGGGGAGGGAAGGGATGGTAGGGGAAAAACAAAAGAGGAGGTAAAAATGCTCAATAGGAAATGTACTCATTACCTTACTCATGTAACTGTAACCCCTCTGTATGATATTTTACAATAAAAACATATTAAAAATCAAAAAAGTCACTATTCTTATTCATAGAGTTGGTAAAAGCAGACTCACTTAACATTTAGTTATAAGCATCTACCTCCCAGGCTAACTGTCTTGCATTTAAGTGATTGGAACTCTGTTTATCATTGGCTTTTCAGAAACAAAGAGGCTCTGTTTAATCTCACCCAGCAGTATATTTCCTTTTTGACATTATTCTTAAGTCATATTTGCTTTCTCCCTGACCTATAAATATGCTAGGGTTTCACACGGTAACTGCTTTACAGATTTTAAATGTGACCTTCACCTTGCCACACTGTAACACAAAGAATAAATCAACAAGCTCATACACTTGCTTCTATATACTTCCTTTAAAATATAACTGAAGTTACACCACTAGAGCTGACAAAGGAACTTTATTCTAGTTTATATGATTTAGTTAATAGTGAGGCTGATCTAATTAGCCCTTTCCACTCTTAAAAGTACTTTTGAAGAGTAAAAAGTAGGGTATTTTCTGCACCAAATATAGCCAATACCTTCCATTTCCACAAGCAAATGTACCTGAGACAAGAACTATTGCTCACCTAGCTTAAGTACTCTTTTCTTTTAATACAGGTCACCATTTCAGGAATACTTGGTTTTTCCACTGCAGAGAAAACCCTGGCTGTTTCAGCCACACATTTGATCAACACGAAACCCTGGACAACACCTGTGTCACCACACTTAGACAAAACCTCTGTCTGCCATAGGGAGATCTCCGAACATCAGCCTTTTACCTGTCCTGTAGCATCTCTCTAACCGTCTTAGAGCTTCTGTCTGCCTTCTCAAGTGCCTGCTTTTCAATTTCTTCCCTCTCTTCCTTTTTCTTCTGCAGATCCGAAGTATAATTTTTCCGGCGACTTTTCCATTTTGCAAGGTCCTGAGAGAAAAAATAAAATCACATCAGCCCAGTCATACCTGAATTTCTACACGCCCCCTGTGAGCAGCAAGAGTACACCAGCTATCCTGTTACATCGCTGAAACTACTCACTCCCACTTGTGCCAAGGTGCCCTCATTTTGCTTTTTATAGCCAGTGTTTCTGTACCAAGCCTTTATCTTATGGGTCTGTCTGCAAACACTGACCTAATAAGATACAACCCCATTTTTGTTTTTCCAGACGGTGCCTTCGCCTCCTTGCTCACTTCACACAGAATGCTAACTGCTTGTAATGAGGTGCTAGGTTAGATCTAGCAGGAAATGGCTCGAGTTTGTTTTCATCTCACTCCACAAATATTGCTGTGATGGGACAGAATGTGTTCACTAGAAAGATGGAAATGGGATATAACTGTCACAGTCAAGAGCTGGTGAGTAGTCTCACTCAGCTAAAAGGAGCTGAAGACCCTGCAACACACAGGTCACTAAGTCATGGCTCCTTCCACGGAAGGCTCATTCTGGAAGGAAAAGGCAGACCTGTAAATAACAGTCAGTAACAACTGTCATAGATCACTTAGAAAAGCCAGGTTTCTAAAGAGAGAGAGTCATTTACACCTCCAGAAAGGAAGAGTTTGTAAAGGCTTCACTGGGCAGGCCAGACGAATATTATATGATCTCAAAGTGGGTAAACTCCACATAGCTCAGGGCACGGAGAAAGATCATACATGAACAAGCCAACATCTGTTTTCCTTATTCCCTAACGTTAGGCCTAACCTAGTCAGGTGACCCCTGGATAATCCCCCCAACTCATTTTCAACTACCCCTAGCAACATAGGCTCATTCTGACTCCAAGTGGATTAAGACATTTTGAAAGCTATGATTCTACAGCAGAGAAACGTCATGTTAAAAACAGCAAGAGGCATTCCAGTCAGAATGTTGAAAGGAGTGACATCAATCAAGATATATTCATAAACTGCTTTGTTAAAGTAGTTTGTACAACTACTTAAAGATAATAATAAAATTTAAAATGTATTTTTAAAAAGAGGTACATTCAAGGTCTCAGACTAAAAGGAACCTCACGCTTAGGGCATGCAAAGTAAGTTTGATGATTCACTTTGGTAGCACACAAGGCTACTTTTCCTTTTCAGACAGCCTGAGAGCAATATGAACGATAACCAGAAAGAACAAAAGCATTATGCATTCCATCCCACAGATAAATGGCATGAAGTTTCATCTGATTTAACTCAATAGACATTCCTCTCTCCAAGTTATTCTCATATCAAAAAGTTCACCAGACATTTTGGTTATAAAACCTTATAGGCTTTTCCTTTCTTTTTGTTTGTTTGGCAGTGCTAGGGATCAAGATTAGGGTCTCACATATATGAGGTAAGCCCCACACTGAGCCTTTTTGAAAATTGAGACCCCCAAAGAAAGAAGGACTTGAATTTTAGAAAGGTAGCCATCAGTGGTTGCTTTACTAATGAATAGATTTTAGTTCCTATGAAAATTTAGATTTGCTCTCTGACCTCCTGTTTCAGGCTACCCCTCAACTCTCTTACTATGAAGTAGTCCTCAAACTTCTATCATCTTCTTATTTATAGCTTGTCTACTATAGTTGTTTATAACAACGACTACATTCAAAAATAGAAAAGGTTACTTTCCTCTTTACGGTTAAGAGTAAGTCTATGCCCATTTAAATACCTAGATGTCAGCTCAGTTGAAACATCTCAATTTTGATTCATAGCAATAATGATTTCTTCAGCCAAAACTGTACTCTAGGTTGTATTTTCTCCCAGTCTTCTCAAGAAGCCTTAAGAACCTGTTTTAATCTCTCTCTACTAAATGCCAATACCCCTGTTCACTATAAATCCTAACCCTAATCAAAGTCTTTTCCTTACAAAAACATAATGAACAGTCATATCTAATTCAACCACCAAAGCAAGAAACACAAGGAAATGAAACAACTTATGAGATACCACAGAAAATATGAGAAGATAAATATTTTCATATTATTTTACTGAGGCTTTTAAAATGTGCACCAATAATAGGCCCCCAAAAAAGTTTAAAATTCTTTGTTACATGTCTACAGAGTCAAATATTATACTTGCAAGGGAAATTGTCCCTTAAGTATCTTGACTTTCTTTTAAGAGAAGGAAATGCAACACATAACACACTCCTTCTACCAATTTAGGAATACTCACATCCTGCCATTTCTGATCTTGTTCTTTTAACTGGGATTTTATTTTCTGCATCTCCTCATACCGCAGCTGACGCAGATTTTGAACATCCTCTGCACTGACATCGCTCATGGACTTACTCCTGTAACAAAAATACAACCAGTCACCACGGTTTACATGACCCAACTGTGTGGAGGCAGGTTGGGCTTATATGTGGAAATTCCACCTAAATTTTGACTCTACTACCTAGACACTTCAGTGATAGTATCACAGAAACAGCCCTACAGAGATAAATGGTATTTTTCCAAAACCCAGAAACAAGAGCCTGGCCACTCAAATGTGAATTTTTTCACAAAAAGAACCAAATGAACCCTGCACAAACAGGAAAAAATAATAATAACCTCGTGTTTCATGTATGAACAGTTGATTCCTGAAAAGCTAATTCAGAGAAAAAAATCATAATCCATCACTAGAATCATAAGTCTTTTATTTTTCTGTCTTCCCCAAAGATAAGCTATTAAGGTTTGGCTGCCTTTTCGGGGCACTTACTAAATAATTTAGTGATTACCTGATATTTTCTCCTCAAGTTCAATACCATGAGTAGATGCACTGCTTCTTGTCAAAGATCTACCACACACCACTGCCCTGGACTGGTTCTCAAAGGACCATAGGTAGTTTCCCAACAGTCCGTCAGACCATCTTGGTTACCCTTCCTTTCATTAAGGCAGCGTTCATATACCCAGCTTATAACTACTACATGAGGTTTAGCTCTGGAAGAGTATAACAGTTGGAGAGGAGAACCAAAGAATAGAGAGGAGTGAGGTCCAAGCATGTGTCTGCTGTCCCAATGTACCTACAAAGGATGGTAAATTGCACCAGAGGAGATGGATCAAGATGGCCTCCCAGACAGGAAGGAGTCAGGTCTGACTGCTCCAGAGAGACAAAGAGCTTTTAAAAGCGGTGAATCCTAGCTGTTCTTTCCCATTGCACTTCTGAGTTTATTGCATTGTAACCTGACTACACTTTCAGTTACTTAAGTGAAGTCCAACTCATGTTCTTGGGCACCTAAAGATTGCCTTCTCCACAATTCAGCCATCACTTTTCCTTCATTAGATCCTCTTCTTTAGCTTGCTCAGGAATGCACTTAGCACTCCCATGCAAATAACCCCAAGTGTACAGCCCAGGACCTGCCCCTCCTTTGACTCATTTCCAACGGCTCCTGAACAAACATTTCTGCATGGATATTCCCTCAGCACCTCGTCTGTAAAAGGACCAGTTGAAATCATATCTCAGAAGGGTTTTATAAACTGTAATTCTCTAGACACCTGGTTATTGTTACTGTAATCAAATTCGAAGCTGCTTTTCCTTTTGTGGTAGTTAATGGGGGGTGGGGGGGGAGAGAGTTAATGCCCTCCAATCATCTGCTTTTGAAACCTAAGAACCATTTTTCACTTTTCTTTCTTCTCCCCACTTTCAATTACTTACCAAGTCTTCTCACTCAGAGTCTCTTTCTTTTCATCTCTACTGCCAACACTCTAGATCCAAGGACAGGCCACCCTTACCTGGACTTCCAAAGAGCTTACTTCAATTATCAGCCAGTGAAATCCTCTCTCAAATGCTCCCTCCAACTCAATAGCCCTTCACTAATACTTATGTCTTTAAAAAAAAAAAAAAAAAAACTACTCAAAATGGATGAATGATGCAACTTTGTATTTTGCTTTCCCCTTAAAAGTCCAAAGGGCACCTTGAACTTAATTTACCATTACAAACTTCCTGGTTCAATCCACAACTTCCTTTCCCCAGTAAAAGAAAGCATGCATCCTTCTAGTTGAAGGACTTGAAGGACCCTCATCATCACCTTGCTTTCTCCCTTCCCACCAGCAGTACAGTCTTAACACAACAGCCAGAACCACCTTCCACAGTTGCACCCAAGACATAGCACCTGTTACTTTGTACCATCAGCTTCTTCCCATCTCTCTAAGTTAAAACCCGGCTTGCCCAAGACCCAAAGGGACTGATGCCTGGTTCCTGCCTGTTCTCATATTCAGTTCCACTGTGCTGGCCTGCCTGCCCTCTCCTCCTGCCAACTGGCCTCCTTGCTATGTTCACACATCATTTCTCCCCCTGAATGCTCTTCACCTCCCAAATCCATGTCTTCTCTCTTACTTGTAGCTACCTGCTCACATGCTGTTTCATTATGAGACCCTCTCCCTGGCGCACCCTGCAGTCATTGCCAAATGAGATGTATGTTTATTGACATATAATGTGTTGCCTTGCAAGTGTATAAAACAGGAATTGAGTCTGATTTGTTAGCTGACCTATTACTGGGCCTACACAAAGGCCAGACTATGTGAAGTGGTCATAAATGTGTTCAGTTCACAACACAGCATGATACAGATACGTCATCCTCACTTAACATCTATGGTAAGAATGATGTAATTTCCATCATATCTATCTAAGCAATCTATACCTACAATATTCCTAGTTCTTTGTAAGAAAGCCTTACTGCTTCCTAAAGTTTTATAAAGTTATATAGGATTTGTTAAGCAGTAGATTCCATATAGAATGTGAGTACATATATAAATACAAATGAGTGTATTAATGAGATGTATTTCTCACTAAGTTTATATTTAAAGAATTTCTGTGAGTTTGCTTAACTCCTACCTATCAAAAACTGAGCTAAGAGTTCAGTTTCAGTATCACCAACGATACTCACTAAGAAGCAGGGGAAAAGTCCTGACTCAAAGCTGGACACCTAACACATAAATTACATAAACTAGAATGAAAATGAAAATGCTAATTCATACTTTGATATTTTTAAGTGGGAAGAGGACTGGGCCATCTAAAGTGGTCTGCAGTCTTCCATAGTCTCTCTAGAACTCTCATCTTCCTGAACTGTGAAGCATGAACACACATCTTCCTGCACAGTGTATGGGTTGGGACAAGGCCACATCCTTCATCTGAGCACCTGAGCTCTGAGCAGAGGCTGGACTCTCAAAAAGTCCTCAGCAAGAATGAGTGAGTCAAACATGGTCTAGAATAGACAAGCTCCTTTGAAGGAAGGAATCTGAGCACAGTATGTTCCCTAGGGTTTATAAAGTTACCCCTGTGAAAACCGGAGTGCACTTGATTGTAGCCTGTGTGAACAACAGAGCAACAAAAGAAAGGACTCTGGGCCCAGCTGTGGCACCAGCATTCACCCCCCTAGCACACATGAGTTCCTTTCTGTGAGCCTTAATTTCCATCCACTAGGTTATAACTAAATGTAGTTGTGCTGATGCCATTTTTTAATAGCTGGTATGTATATGTTTTATACACACACACATCAGTTCCTAACTATGGCAAATATGATTCGATAGTATCTCCAGGAAGCTAACTCTAAGCCACTTCAAACTAGAGGCGTCACCCCAGATTACACTGAGACAATCTAGCCTAGAGAAGTACAGATCCTGAAGTGTTCTTCCTACCTTCTCAGTGCAAATAGCACAAAATTAAACTCTTACAGGTTCACTGTATGTCTCTTGGAAGCAACAGTGCCCAACAGTGTTGTAGCTTTATCTCATGAGAGTTCTATCATTCCTGTGTCTATACCCTTAGGAAAACTATGATCCCTTTTCTCCTTCTCCATGCCTCTGAAATGCAGATAACACCTATCTGCCTACCACCAAATGGAGAGAAGTATAGGAGAAACTATCAGGAAGATTGTTTAGGAAAGCAGTTAAGGTCTATACATGTCTAGTATGATTTGTTGAATGGTAGTCTATTTGCTAGTAAGTCTCATCATAATTCTCCCACAATTCATCTAACAGCTATTTCTATTACATCAACTTGTAATAGCATTTATTATATAGATGAATATATATGAATAAAGTATAGTACACATAGGCATAAGATACCATGGTATAATACCTTTGAACAATGAACAGTTTGACAAATGAATGCCCAAGCTGAAACATGTCTTGACTGAAGGGCAGGAGTTAGAGGCTACTGGCAAGAAGTGGATGAATGGAAAGAGGAATGGTGGGTGAATACAATTCTAAGAGTCAATAAAATACAGTGTTTCCTATTCACTTGAAAAGAATTTTTATAGACTTTAGGAGAGGATAAAAGTAAAGGAAAGTTTAAGGAAAAAGGTATCAATCATAAAACAAGATCACAAAGCACAGCTCTATTCTGGTCCTCTGATTGCCTATGATGCTACTGGCAGTTTTTGTCTATGATTAAGAAATATCTAATCCAACAGATTTAAGTTTCTAAGGAGTAGGCAAAGCTACAGCTATAACTATCTAAGAAGTAAGTGACCACAAAGAACCAACTAGGGGCAAACTTTCCTAAATATAAAATCAAGATAGCTTCACAAAGCAAACAGAAGTTCTTATAATACTTTACTGGGACCCAACTTTCAGAGGTGAAAATAAATATGCTTATAATATAAATATATATATTATAACAAATATAAATATATTTTCATTCATATTATAGGAATTCAGTGAAAAAGAAATCCAATGTGAAACCTATGTGAACGCATTGAAATTACCATAAACCAGAACAAGGCAGTATCCTCAGTATTTTTCTTTTATAGATTTACCATCTAAATCAGAGTTTCTGGATAGCAGAACTTATTGATATTTAAGCTGGAAAATTATTTGGTGTTCAGGGCTATAAATTCAAGTAAACCCAATAGAATGTGCACACACCTGGCTGTCATAATAATTTTAAAAAAATCTCTAGACATGACCAGATATCCCCTGAGGAGAAAAAGTACCCAGAAAAGAACTCATATAAACTTTATTTTCCCTTCCTTGCTGCCAAATTTCATAAATGAAATATAGGTGTCTTCATTTTCTGTGAAATTAAATTCAAAGTTAATTAGCATTTATTTCCTGTTCATGCTGATAGAAGACTCAATGACTTAATCACATTTGGGGATTATTTCTATATATCTTTGTGATGGATATTTATCTGTCCTTAAAAATTTACATCAGAAGGCCACATAACCACTTTTCAAACTTCACAGAACCATGCAGATGTAAATTCATGCAACACAAAAGCACACACATAAGAACTGACAGCCATATGCAAAAGCAAAGCATCTTAGGAAAAATAAACTGACAATTACTAAATGCCAAGTAAAAAGCAAGCCATCAGTCCGGGGTACAGTTCAGAAACAGAGAACTTACTTAACATGCACAAAGCCCTGTGCTGAAATAATAATAATGATACTTCAAACAAACAGGCTAGAATTTAATAGCCTAAGAACTCAATTTGAATAACACTGATCAAGGTGCCTTGGGCTCATAAATTGACATATTTAATTGAAACTCTTTATACTACTACTCAATTTGCACCTTTCTTTTTAAACTGGTCCTTACCAAGAAGAAAGCATTAATATAATAGGCAGTTGTTTTTTTTAATTACAGGATGTTGAACAGTAATGCTTTTCCAGTATATTTTCAGAAAAAAAAAAAGGTCATCTAGCATAAATGTGAAATGGGTTGTAAGTAAAATCCAACACGTATTTCAATCTCAATTTATATCTGAAGAAAATCAATTTAAGGAAAGCATTGGTAACTGACAGAAAGTAGAAACTCCCATAGGATAGGTTTAATTTCAACTGCTTAAAAACACATTTGTGTTTTCTAAAGCCACATTAGGTTTTACTCTTTGTCAGGTCATGCATTATTCAACATTCTCAATTTACCATCTACCTTGCTTTATTTGCGTAGTTAGCTTGGCACTCAACTGCATGGAAAACCATCTTTAAAACAAACACTATGCTATCCAAATAACTATCTGGGAATTGTCTACCAAAAACATTTGCTATTGCTAGCTATAATTTGGAGAAATCCTCATGTTTTTTAAGTTTCAGTATTTAGGTTTCTTTCTGTCCAGACTCTCCCCTTAGACTACTCCCTCTCCTTTTTTAACTGTAGCCCAGTGCTGAGGATTGAATCCAGGGACACAATACTGGCTCAACAAGCACTCTACCACTGAGTTCCACCCCAGCCAAGGGTAACACAGCCACATAGCGCCCCCTTCACTAAGGAGGAAGAAGCACAATCAAACCAGTATGGCATGTTTCCATTGCATCTAGTGTTTGTACTCTGAGTACTTGTATTCCCTTAAAAAATAATAACTATTCCAGAGAACTGCTTATATTATACAGTCATCTGTGACTTAAAAATGAAAATTCTTTCTGAATTTTAATCAAGTTCTTTCTTTCAATCAAGATAGCTTCCCTCTCACGAATTGAGAACAGCTGCTGAAGACTGACTGCTTACTCTCCCAGGAGGCTCTGAACAAGGGGAAGTATGTTTTTACACAGCACCCTGAAAACAGGCGAGGAACCAATGCTCTAAATCAGTGGTTGACAAGTAGTTGCAGTAAGCTGCCAGTCACTCAATTACATCTTCAACATCTAGAATAGCTAATATGGGGCTGGAAATGTAGCTTCGTGGTAGAGTGCTTGCCTAGCATGCAGGAAGCCCTGGGTTCCATTCCTCAGTACCACCTACACAGAAAAAGTTGGAAGTGGTAAAGCGCTAACCTTGAGCAAAAGAAGCTCAGGGAAAGTGCCCAGGCCCTGAGTTCAAGCCTCAGGACTGGCAAAAAAAAAAAAAAAAAAAATAGAATAGCTAATAACAGCATATTAAATGGTTAAGTATGATAGTTTCTAAGATTTCTGAACTATTAAACTTATCAAATGTTACCAAAATTAGAGATGTTTATAGATGAAAAGAACCTAGAAGGGGAAGATACTTAGCCACCAAGGTCTAGGAAAATTAAAATGCTTGAATTCTTAAAACTCTCTCCTCGGGCTGGGAAGCTGGCTCAGTGGTAGAGTACTTGCCTTGCATGCACAAGGTCCTGGGTTTGATTCCTCAGCACCACATAAGCGGAAAAAGCCGTAAGTGGCCCTGTGGCTGAAGTGGTAGAGCGCTAGCCTTGAGCTGAAGTGCTAGGTGACAGCGCCCAGGCCCAGAGTTCAAGCCCCACGACCAAAAAAAAAAAAAAAAAAAAATCTGTTAAAACTCTCTCCTCTTGCTCAAAACTATTAGCAATAAGATTCCCAAAGTTACAGGAAAGTTGGTGATACTACACTAAGAGTGAAGGACTTACTTTTAAATTTCAGCTATTCTAGAGATGAAAAACATTTCCAGAAGTTAGTTTTTGTATTGTAATATAATGTGATGTCTACCAGATGAGAATTAAAATCAGTAGGCAAAAACTGAGAATTAGCTATAAACACAGTTCTTACAACAACCTGGGAAATGAGTAAGATTGATTTTTGCAATTTGGAAATTCAGTTTTGCTGTATTATAACTCTCTCAGCCATATTATAACTCTCTACTCTAATTAGGGATCTTAAAAACTGTTTTCAAATACTACTGATGAAAGATTAATTCCTCTCTCCATCTCCATGACCAAAGCTCCTTGTGAGCTAAACATATACATTACACCAACTGATTGCATTCTATAATGTATTGTATAAACACTAGCATCTTTCCAGCATAGATTTTCTAAAACACAGTTACTCATAGAAATCAGAAACATAGTTTACTTAGAAATCAAATACAAAAATAAACCTACATGGTCTTAAGCGAGTACTTTCATTATTTTAATTAGCTCAGTAAATTACAAAAATGGAAAAAATAGTATTATAAAAACTTTCGTTTTATCTAGAACTTCATGCACTGAGCATTCAGACACAAAATTACCATTAGGCTGAAAAGTTAATTGAACATTTTCCCATTTAAGAAATCTCATGCACTACACATAGCACACTATTTAGTGACATGCCAAGATAGAAGTGTGATGACAAGCTACACAGAGACATACAATATGCAGATTTTTGTCCACAGTGAAACATAAAACTTACCCGTTCTCACCATAAATTTTTTGAAAGAGTCTAAGAAACCAGAAAACCAAAAATTAAAAATAGTAATAACCATTTTCCCCAGTTGGCTAGTTTCTAAACATTCAATGTCTCTCAGTCTATTGGAGATGGACACATCTCAAAAGGTTTTCTCTTTAGCCATATTTGATCACGTGTCAAGTTTTCATGGACATCATATCTCAACACAAGACTCAGATCAGGTGAAATGTAAATATTCTTGCTCAAATGAGCTGCAAATCCATATAATAACAAAGTATACTACTTACCAGCAACTAAGTTAGGCTTATATTACTCATTAATTTGGCCTGATCAGATTTGTCCATCCTCAAGTTCAACACACTCAACATTCATTTAAAAAAAGGCAAGTAACATAAACTATAAATTATCACAAAATGGCCACAACAGCATTCATGTAAAATTCAGCCGACAGTAAGATTCATGCATTTTAACAAAGTTTGCCTAAACTTTAAACTATGAACAAAAAAAAAAATTACAACTTGAGAGTCAAAAAAAAAAAAACCTAGGTCAAAAACAAAAATCCAGTTTCATGTGATTTGCAAAGTCATATTGTAAGAGAAAATTTTTTACACACACACACAAAATCAGACAGCCCAAAATATGAGAAGCACACAAAACTAACTACAATCAGACTATTACAGAAATGCCTGGACATGCAAATAAAATCTAGAAATATCACTGAGATGAAACTTCACATGACAGACAGAGTAGTAGCACACACTTAAAGCTAAAGGCAAGATTTGCATATATACCTGCTTAAAATAGGCCTAAGAGTTGTGCATTTTTTCCCTCGAAATGATTAAAAGTTTTCTCAAAGCAAATGAAAGTTTTACAGGATGCTTCAAAATGGCACACGACATGCAGAGTTGAACAATCTGATGCTGGGGGGTTTTTTTGGGGGGGGAGTCCCCCCCTACAAGAAAAGTCACACAAAGACCATCTAGGACAAGCGAAATTCTTGCACAAACACACTCTGACCTCTCAACCATCAGTCGTTTCTTGTGCCTAAGTTGACTGGCCTCCCGGATAGCCTCCCACTTCTGCAAGTCGGCCTCACTGCAGGGACCAGGGGTAAAACTGATGGGAGGAACAGAAGTCCCCAGTGTCCAAGACTGAATCTTGCGAGTCAGCATATCATCCTTCTTCTGCCGAAAGGACGGAACTAATATTCTACAGCTAGTACTCTTTTCTTTGGGTGGGCATGTCCTTTCCAGAACACAGAGAAATTTTGCTTGAATTTCCGGAGGCAGAGTCCAGGGTTCAGGAAAAGGGACTGGCTGGTATCTATCGGGGGCCCCAGACAGAGGTACTTCTTTCTTCTGTGCTGGAATTCGGCGAACAATCATATCATCTTTTTCTAAATCTGGAAGTACGAGGTCACCCTCTCTACATTGCAAAATTATATCTCGCTCTACAGAATCATCTTGCTCAGAGAACCTTCTAAAGTCTTCAAAAGCTCGGAGAACACAGGGATTTGCATGGAAAGCCCTTGTTTTTCTGACAAAGAAATCATCATTTTCTAAATCAGGGTCCAAGGCTGGCATCTCAAGGTCATCTCTTCTAAAGCCTGGTGCATGAGGAAGGTTCTTTCTGCGTGTTATAAGCCTTGGGCCAGAAGTGGGATCAATTCTGACATTTGTTTCAGAAGACAAGATGTCATCAGAGTATGTTTGGAGAGCCTGAAGTAATAAAAACTGACTGAAGCACAGAAAAGAGAAACGAAGGGAGAGTCTGATTAAGTATAAGAGAGAAAAGGTAATTAGGAACAGACTAACTAGGCCAGAGGTAAATTATTTTATGGGGAATGGGAAGAACTACTGCTAACAGACAACCTAGCAATTAGTACTATCATTCATCACTGTCCTGGGTGCTATTTAAAGAAGCAAGTACAGGGTGCACTTCCCAGAGAGGTGGGTGCTGACAAGGCCTCAAGATCACCCACAGAACAGCTGCCCACTTCCTCCTTCCATATCCCAGGGGCCTCATCCCGCTACTAGAGAAGAAATGATCTTAGAAAGTTTCAGGAGTTGTGCAAAAAAAAAAAAAAAAGAGTACCAAAAAAAGGTCAAATTGCTCTAAAGTTTTAAAAAATAGAACCTGGGGCCTGGCGCTGGTAGCTCATGCCTGTAATCCTAGCTACTCTGGAGGCTGAGATGTGAGCATTACAGTTCAAAACCAGCCCAGGCAGGAAAGTCTGTGAGACTCTTATCTCCAATTAACCACCAGAAAACCCTAAGTGGTGCTGTGGCTCAAGTGGTAGACACTCACCTTGAGCTGAAGAGCTAAGGGACGTCGCCCAGGCTCAGAGTTCAAGGCCCATGACTGACAAAAAAAAATAGAACCTGGGGAATTTTCTTCACATTCTCCCAGATTTGTCCTTCCCTGTCTCTTCCCTAGAAATTATTTCTTTTCTTTATACCCACAAAATACAACACAACTGTAAAATTAGTAATCCTTCTCAAAAAGCCTATGTTGCACTGGCTTTCTAAAAGAACAGGCACATGTAAGTATACATTGCCGGGCAACATTATTTTTTGTACTAGTAAACAACGTTGAGTCCTGCGGACTCCCAAACTTATACTCTCACGCAAAAAGTGGTGTGTTGTTACATGTTATGCTTTGGTACTCAGTCTATCAAGTTAAGGTTCTATGATCCAACACAGTCAGCCTCAGATTAAAGGAGCAGCAGAAGCGGGTGGAGCGGGGATCTGAGCTCAGATCCCAAGCAGGCAGCTAGCTCATGCAGGCAGGGGCACCTGTGCTCAGATGAGGCAGCCCTGGTCCTGCCGGCTGCGTGGGTATCCCGTGACTTTAAGGCCCATTTGGTGGCTAGTTCCAGCAAGAGTGACGGTCTTGGGCGGTTGTCTAACCTACGCTCTGCTTTCTGTATTCTATTAAAAATGATGGAGCTTCTGTCAGAGCCTGATTCCTCTTCCTCTGAGTCTGAATTTCTTCTACCGCGAAGTGACAGGGAGAAAGGAGGAACAGAGGAGACAAGGAATTGAAGAATGAAACTTCTAAAACCAATTAAGCTATGGCTGCCTACACAGAAACAGGCTTTCTAAGATCCAGATTCTAAGGTGACAAAAGGTTGCTGCTTACACACTCTTTCTGTGTAGCCCAGGCTTAGCCTGGAACTCATGCTCCAACTGCCTCAGCCTTGTGGATAATGGGATTTGGTGTGCACCACCATATCAAGCTCTGAAGCTTATTAACGACGTTTATTTCAATTTTAGAAATCTCATAGATGTCAATGTGAAAGCCTCTATCACTCAATAAAAATGCACATAGAATGCACCAGGCCAAGGTATGGGATGAATTCTGGGAAAACAGAATCATGCATAAAACAAACCTGAATCCCTGAAATTCTTTATACCATGGTTTATAATTCTCCCTTTTTATTCTTTTCCAGCTCCCATCTTCTGGGGTCCAACATTTAGGAAGAAACTGATCAAAAGAATTCCCTGGGTTTGGCATGACTGGACTTAGCCTTCGCAGATACAGATCATCCTTGACAATGTTGGGTAGACTTGTGATCCTTTCTTCTTCCTCTTCCAAATAACAAGAGGAGATTGATGTCTCTCGGATTGCTGGCCATTTCTCCACCTTGGTGCCCCAAGTTTTCCTCTGGTTACTGTTCAAAACATCCAACCAGGTTAAGATAACTGTGTGAGCAATTTGTGACCCAGAACACAAAAAGCATGCATTCTGCCTCACAAAGTTTACACCACAGCAAATGATCACGCATTCTCATCATCACCGGTCCTAGAACCATTAAAGCAGTACTTCGGTTTAGTTACAAGAATGGCCAGGTACACATGGCCAAGGACACTGAATTGGAAGCTGTGTTAAAAGAAAGGCAAATTCCAAACCAATTGGGTGTTACTTTCTGAATTCAATCAGTAACGTGATAGACATTCAGATCCGAGACATATATATTTCTGACAAATCTGTCTCTGACCTCAGTGTGGGTAGCCCAGTGGCCAATGTGTCAGGAGAAAATATTTGCGGATAAGAGTTGGAACAAGTAGTTTTTGAGACAAAACTCTCAGGTCTCTTTTTCGCTTGGAATCTACGATTGGCTAAGTCATCCGAAATCACGTCAGGCAGCCTTCGTTCATCGTCACTGTCAGAATCACTCTCTGAAGCACACACCTCCTTACAGGAAGTTGGATTTGAAAAACAAGCCTCGGCTCGGCTAATTTGTTGAGAACTAAAAGGATTCTTTTCCTGTCCACTAAGATCAACCAAAAAAAAAGGAAAACAATAGAAGAAAACACGACATAACTCACAATACACAGTATCAGTCATCCAGCAAACTAAAAACTACCAATAAACTTTCAGCCATGCATCTAAAAGAAGACTTAGAAAATTATACACCAATGCTCTAAAACAGAACAAGTATTTTCAAGGTAAGTATGACTAAAAATAGGGATGAGAAAAAAAAATTCTCATTGGTGAAATTCATTACTTACAAAATACGTTCCAAAAGCTGATCTTTTTGCCTTATTTCCATACCCCCATCAAATTCACATAGCATACAGAATCCCAAAATCACATCTCATCCCAGTACCTTGAGAATGTTCCATCTGCTTCTGTATAGACCGGGCTTGCCCAGCTCCTTCGGTTATCCTCATTTTTGTCTGGCTTTTTCTTCCTCAAGGGTGCCGGCATATAGGATGCCTGTCTACTTTTGTTGGGTAAAAACCGATTGAATGGTAAAGCAGACTTTGGTTCAATAGCCGAAATCCTTCGATAGGACATGTCATCTTTGTTATAATCCTGCATTCTGAATGTCAATTCTGAATCTGTGTCACTTTCACAACCTAAAATAAATTAATTAATCAATAAGCACAAGAATTTGCTGGGCCCTCCAAATTATTCTCCTAACTGCAAGTCCTCAACAGGTCTGCTTTGTCTCTTTCTCTGGAAAGCCTGTGCTGCTCTTGTGAGCTGCGGGGAATATTTTTAGAAATTTGTTGTGAAGTTGTGATAAGATCCATTAGGAGGAATTTGCTTTGCATGCTGGAGATGCATGCAGTACATTCTTTTGTTGTTGGACATTTGAAACAGAGAAAGTCCCAGTTCACTGCTGAACCTCTGTTTCTTCCCCATTGTCTTTGTCTTCGGGATGTTTCTTAAAATTAGTTCATATGATGAGCAAATCTAGCAATCACCATAGATGCTTAAAATAACATACATAAGTAATTCTAGAGAAACTCTCGTTTCAAATGTAGCTATCAAATCTACCTGAGGGTAAAGATAAGACCCAAAATCTGTAATCCTAGTGACTCAGGAGGATGAGATCTGTGGATGGTGATTTCAAAGCTAACCCAGGCAGGAAAGTCCATGAGACTGTGACCACCAATTAACCATAAAAAGCTGCAAGTGGAGGTGTGGCTCAACTGGTAGAGAGCTAGCCTTAAGCAAAAAAAGTTCAGCTCAGGAACTCAGTAACACCACCCATGCCCAGGAATGGAGGGAGGGAGCCAGGGAGGGAGGGAGAGATAAAGGGAGAGAGAAAGGGGGAAAAAAGGGGGGAGGGAAAGAGAGAAGGAGGGGGGGAAGGAGAGAGAGAGAGACAGAAAGAGAGAGAGAGGAGTTAAAGACTAGACTGGGTGCCAATGGCTCATGCCTATCATACTAACTACTCAGGAGGCTGAGATCTGAGGACTGCAGTTGGAAGCCAGCCTGCGTAGGGAAGGCTATGGGACACATATCTCAAATTAACTGCCAAAAGACCAGAAGTGAAGATGTGGCTCAAGTAGTAGTGTCAACCTTGAGCATTAAGGAATAGCACTCAGGCCTTGAGTTTAAGTCCTATCACTGGTGGGAATGTGCACACACATACGTACGTACTCCACACAAAATGCGCAGGGGTTGGAGCGATCCTTATAAAGCAGCCTCCCAAAACAAAACAAGTCCACATGAGAGACAGATACATAGGATCATGTCTGAAGTCCTAAAGGAATCTCAATTCTTATGCCTAAGAATCCAGAACTCATGGCTTCTTCTAATGAATATGGAAATTATATTAAGAATCTTGTACTTTTTTATTCCAAAAGATAAAAACAAACTCAAAAGGAAACCCTTTGCAATCGACTAACCACTCAAGGACAGATAGATACAAAGAACAACATTACTCTTTCAAAAAGAAAGCCAGGCTGTTCTTAAAAACATAGGAAAAGAGCAGAGATAATCCTTCAGATCCAGTTGGGATCTGCTGTTCTCTTCTCCCTGTCTCTTGTGCATTTATTCATACAGTTTACACTTGTTGTTTGCCTCCCACCAGACTACTCTCTGAGCCACACCATTGTATCTGATTGTAGCCTCTCAGCAAGCTCAGCACCTGCAGGGTTAACCTGAGCTGAGTGTCTTACTCCACCCTCTTGCCTGGCAGGAATATACACAGTAAACAGTACTGGGAATAGCCCACAGGATGTGGTTTGTCATGCAGCTGTGACACAGGGACAAGAGGAGAAGGAAGAAAGAATAGACCAAGAGGATTACAAGTCAGTCTAGTGGGTTTCCTTTGCTTTTTTTTTTTTAACCAACTCCTAAAAAGAAGTCATTTCTCTTATTTACAAAAACAAAAAAAAAAATCACCCAGGATTCTTGTCAAAATGAACATATAACATTTTAAAAGTAAACTGTTCAAATTTTGAATCTTTCAAGTTTGAAATTTGTTTTACCCTGGACAGTGCGCTACAGTTTGTATTACTGTATTATTTTCTCTAGTTTTGTTTTTGGTTTGGTTTGGTTTTGTGTCAGTCCTAGAGCTTGAACTGAAGGCCTGGACACTAAACTTTAGCTTTTTCGCTCATGACTAATATTCTATCACTGAAACTACAGTTTCACTTCTGGCATTTTGGTAGTTCAGTGGAGACAAGAGTTTCATGTACTATTTTGCCTAGCCTGACTTCAAACCATGATCCTCAGATCTCTGCCTCTAGAATAGCTAGGGTGAGCCACCAGCACAAAGCAACCTCCAAACTCTTTCAACAAGGCTCATTTACAAATATTTTCTGGGGACCAGAAAGCAATGTGACTATGGCCCTTGCTTGGGTTACACACACTTAGCCCCCAGCCCAGGTGCCTGAGGACTAGAATCCCATATCACTGCTACAAGTCTACTGAATGGCTGAAATCTGCAAAGCCTACACTTTCTCTTATTCTTCATTAACAACATATAAATGTAAACAATGCATATGGTAGCTTCTTTAGTGAATAAAATAGTATGAGGGTTTGAGAATTTCAGTCTCTGTGTTTACAACTTTAATCACACAGATTAATTGTAAGCTCAGATTTATTTCCCTAAAGCTGTGGCAATTGTCATTTGTGCTATGAAAATGTCAAGCTTAGAAAGCAAACATCCAACAAATGCAGTACTAATTATAAAAGTTCATGCTTCAGCAGGCATTCACACCTTTAAAAACACTATTACAACTCCGAAGCTAAAGAATTTAGGTTTCTTTAGGGTATTTGCTGATGTTTGAGGAGTTTTTCATCCTGAAAGTCTTAGTAGAAACATTTAAAAATATAATGACATATTTATAAGATGATTTCTTTGTTGCTTTGTATGTCCCTCCCCCACAGTATAACCCCTGCTTTCACTGTATTTGATGTTGGTATGATTTGTGGAGGGGAAGGGAAAAAACAAATGGTGTAAATAGGGATACAGGTGGACTCATTGCAACAATGAGATGTACAAATCGTTATGTTGAAAAACGAACTTTACAACTTTGGGGCGGGGGGGGGGAGGTTGGGGAAGATGGAAAGGGATGGGAAAATTAAAATTAAAAAATATATATATAATGATGCCCATAATAAACAAGCAAAGTAAAATCCCTACTATTCAAGCACAGTTCACAAGCAGAATTGACAATTTTCTCATGATGATGGTAGTGAAAGCACAGAAACATCAAGAAAAAAAATGATTTCTGGGGCTGGGAAGTTGGCTCAGTGGTAGAGCGCTTGCCTTGCATGCCTGAGGCCCTGGGTTCGATTCCTCAGCACCACATAAGGAAAAAGAAAAAAGCCGGAAGTGGTGCTGTGGCTCAAGTGGTAGAGCGCTAGCCTTGAGCTCAAGAGCTGAGGGACAGCGCCCAGGCCCAGAGTTCAGGCCCCGCGATCGGACTCAAAAAAAATGAATAAAATCAAAAAAAAAAAAAAAAAAAAAAGATTTCTTTCTGGTGCTAGCAGTCTAAAACCATGGCCATAGGAATGTTAGGTTAGATAAACATTCTGCCACTGAGCTACAATCCTAGCATTTCAACAAATTTTACTTGTTATTTCAGTCTACTCAATCTGCTCACCTAGTAGCCATTGAAATAAGACCGATATTAAAATAATTGCTTTGAACAAAGGTTCCCTCGTCTAACTTTTTGTGTTAACAGATTTCTTTCATAAATGCTCTGTCTTGGGTTAGCTCGACAGAAGTCACTATGCTACCATGTGACCCAATCCATCAAAAGCTTAGAGATAATTATTGAAATAGTTTTTCATTTAATGAGAGCTGAAAAAAAAAATAATCTCTTTACAAATAATAAGGTGGTCAAATAAAGTGGTCAAATCCCATCTAAAATTAGAAGGAAATACATGGAAACTATCTTCAATGTGAGGGAGACAACAATAAAGTAACTAACAATGATTCCATAAGTCCTTGTTAAAAGCCACTGAGAGGTGCAATTTTTGCCAAACTAGCTCTCATTACATTATTCTACTTTCTCTTATTCCCAACTTTCTCTGTCTAGGCAAACCAAACTAAACTGAGAGCCAAAACTGCAACTCACCGTCCCGTCCCCCTCTCAGTGTGATATCTGAGGAGCAGCTGGTCAACGACCTGGAGCCCAAGGAGTCCAAACTCTCAAAGGAATCTTCCCTCTTATGTCTACCTGGAGGAGCCAGAAATTCTCCTCGGTCAGGACACCAGAAATCACTATAGCCACTGTCACGGCCACTTCTGTTCAGGCAGCTGGAGTCTTCAAGTGCCTAAGGAGAACATTTGAATGGTGAGTATGTTAGGAGCAGTAGCTCAAGCCTGTAATCTTAGCTATGTAGGAGGCAGAGATCAGGGGCTCTCAGTGTGAGGCAGTCTGGCTAGGTACAGTTCCATGTGCCTATTATAACAGTGATTCAGGAAAGCACAACTAGGAGGATCACATTTCAGGTCAACCTAAGCATAAAAATGGGAGCCTAATTGAGCACCAGTGGCTTATATCTGTCATGGCGGGCTGAGATTGGCAGGCTCAAAGTTCTAAATCAACTCAAGCAGAATTGTCCATGAAACATCATCTCAGCAAAGGAAATCTGGCCACTGTGGTATTTTCAAGTCATCCCAACAAACTACAGGGGAGTCACTATCTAGGAACACACCTAGGAAGGAAGCAAGACCCTACCTCAAAAATAGCCAGCAAAGAACGGGGCTGGGGAAGATCTCAGTGGTATAACACCTGCCCAGCAACAGTGAGGCCCTTAGTTTAAACTCCAGGACCACCAAAAAAGAAATAAGAATACTGTGTTATCATAAACCTCAAAAAGCCAGAAAATATATCTGGTTCAAAATAACAATAAGAACATGTTTGATATTGCTGAATGGAATAGTACAGTCAAATTTAAAGTAAGAATAGTCTAATAAAATACAGTTTATTAAAAAATCAAATGGCTAAAGTCAATAATTGTTTATAGTCTTCTGGCCAAATAAACATAAGAAAAAATCCAAGAAAAAAACCAAAAGTGTTCATTTAGACATCAAAAAGGAGCTTTGTCAGTAATACTATACAATTACAATATTATGCAATATTCTACAATATTTACAGGAAATATTTAGAGTGACTTATGTTCAACAAAACCATAATGTTCATAATGTTAATGTCCTATAAACCTTCACAACTAAGTTTTGTTGTTTTTTTAAAGAGCAAGAACAATGGGTCTATGCATAATGGATTCATTTATTTTCACTAACTACAAAACTGGAATCTGAGGTGCTGGCAGAAAGGTTGTCTTTCTTTTCTTCTTTTCTTTTGGTGTTGGTCCTACTGTTCCTGAGCCTTTTTTTTCAAGGCTAGTGTCCCACCACTTGAGCCACAGCTCCACTTCTGGCATTTAGGGTGGTTAATTAGAGATAAGACATTCCTGCCCTGGCTAGCTTTGAACCAAAATTCTTATAGCTCAGCTTCCTATGAAGCTTGTATTACAGGAGTGAGCTACTAGAACCCAGGATGACTGCCTTTCTTGACAAGTCAATGGAAACACACTGTTTGCCAATATATATAACATTTACTTTCCTTGTTTTGCTCATTTAAGAAATGCCAAGGCTGTTACCAATATGTTTGTAAGTTATACTCAAAATAAGCATTTTTAGTTACTAGTCGTCTGAAATTTAATGGCAACACTTAAGTGAAAATGCTAATTTTCAAAGCTTAGTTAAGTAAAAATTACCAGTGTAACTTTTAGGTGAGATTTCCTAAAACAGTTTAAAGAACCTAGGAATTACTAAAAACAAAATTTATTGTTAATATATAAACTTTGATTTGATCATTGTTCAAGTTTTTTAAATCTATGAAAATTAAATTGGGAGACTCAACAGACCAGGAAGTCAATCACATAATGAATAATAAGGAACAGTTATGAGATTTCCTGAAAATTTTTCAAAGGAAAAGAACTCTTAGGGGACTCATGCTAAATATTTCAAAGTGAGTTATATCTGAAATTTATCTTAAAATGGTTAAGTAAAAATCACAGAACTGAGTGCCAGTGACTCACATCTATAATCCTAGCTACTCAGAAGGCTGAGGTCTAAAGATCATGGTTCAAACCAGTAAGGACAAGTAAATGTGAGAAACTGTTATCTCCAGGTTACCCACAAAAAGGCAGAAACAGAAATGTGGCTGATGCGGTAAAACACCATGATCTGAGTTCAAGCCTCCAGCCATGCCCAATGCAAAGAGGGGAGGTGGGAACACAGCAATAGACCAGCTTGGCACACACACACAAAGCAAACAAGAAAATTTAAATTGAGTCAAATCTCAATTGGATTTATTACTTTCTCAACTTTTCTTTATGCGTGATTCTGACATGGGAATAGGGCTGAAAATGTTCTCAATGAAAAATTAGCAGCTGTCTGAGGCACACTTCTGACTCACACCAGATCCATCAATTCATGGTTCAGAAGTTGGACCAGTGTTTGAAGTACCCATCAGGTCTAGTAGATTTAAGTAAGATTTCACATGCTTTATGTGCCAGGCATCCTGTCATTGGTGTTGACACTGCATCATGAAAATGTCAGCCTCTTCTACATCTGCTGTTCCCATGCAGATGGGGAGACTAACCCTACGGATGGTACAAACAAAATATGGATCCAAATGTAAGCCGATTACATTAACTCCTTCCAGTATCTTAAATTTATGACCCGCTGAGCTAACAGACAAGATGATTTTTCATATCATAAATGTTAAAAATGATTAATGGCAGGCCACTTCAGTTGCAAAATAACCCTAGTCTAGCCATGGAGCTTCCTTTGGGAACACCTTATATGACAAGTGTCCTAAAATGATTTCCCTTAAACCTGACTCTAGTATAATAGTGTTTATAAAGGTTTTGTGCCATTACTGGGTTTGAACTCAAGGATAGTACGCAGTCCCTTAGCTTTTAAGCTCAAGGCTAATGCTCTATCACCTAAGCTACAGTTCCACTTGTGGCTTTTTGGTGGTTAACTGAACATATGAGTCCCATGGACATTTCTGCCTAACCTGGCTTTGAACTATAATACTCAGATATTAGTATCCTGAAAAGGATTACAAGTATGAGCTACTGGTGCTTGGCAAAAAAAAAAAAAAAAACTTAATTGTGTGTGTGTGTTGCCAGTAATGGAGCTTGAGCTTTCACTTAGATCTTTTGCTTAAGGCTAAGGTAGGGGTGTGTGTGTGTGTGTGTGTGTGTGTGTGTGTGTGTGTGTGTGTGTGTGTGTGTGTGTGTGTGTGTGTGTGTGTGTGTGTGTGTGTGTGTGTGTGTGTGTGTGTGTGTGTGTGTGTGTGTGTGTAGATCTTTTGCTTAAGGCTAAGGTAGGGGTGTGTGTGTGTGTGTGTGTGTGTGTGTGTGTGTGTGTGTGTGTGTGTGTGTGTGTGTGTGTGTGTGTGTGTGTGTGTGTGTGTGTGTGTGTGTGTGTGTGTGTGTGTGTGTGTGTGTGTGTGTGTGTGTGTGTGTGTGTGTGTGTGTGTTGCCAGTAATGGAGCTTGAGCTTTCACTTAGATCTTTTGCTTAAGGCTAGTTCTCTAGCACTTGAAGCACTCCTCTTCAAAAACCAAGTATTTTTTTTAATCCATAGTTCAGATTGGCTATAGACATTATCTAGTTAAACTAGGAAAGTATGTAAAGCACAAAGATTTTTATTTTAATAAAACTGAAACCAAATCAGTAATATATTCACACATGTCTCCCATACAAATCCCTACTTGGCAATATTAGAATAACAGAATCACAAGAGATAGGTTTATTTGTTGGGTGGGTGGGAGGTGAGGAGAGCTTAATCATTCTTTTCTTTCTTTTTTTTTTTTTCCCCTCCTGATCCTGGGGCTTGAACTCTGGGCCTGGGCATTGTTCCTGATATTCCTTTGCTCAAAGCTAGCATGGCTTTTTCTGAGTGGTTAGTTGGAAATGAGAATCTCACAAACTTTCCTATCCCCAGGAGGCTTTAAACTTCAATCCTCGAAACTCAGTCTTCTGTTTAGCTAGGATTTCAGGCATAAGCTACCAGTTACCCAGCCCAAAGGTTCTTTTTGCACATTGACCTTGATTCAGGGGACAGTCATGGCCTTTATAAGGTCATTCCTAACACAATCTTTTGTATTGAGATTATTCAGCCTGACTCACAGTTATAAAATGACTCAAAGGCCATAAAGAGAATGAGTCCATGAGGCAAAGCCCCACATCATTTTTCCCTAAATGGTTTCCTAGCTGACACCACCGTAAAGCAAGGTTCTTCTGGGCCCTGAGTTTACCCTCCTTCAGGGCAGGGTCAGCGAACTCTGATGACTGTGTTCTGTGAGGTTCAGTCATTCACTCAAAGTGAGTGTTTGCTCAACTTCTAGGTCAGAATGCATGTACTGTACTCTCTTCTCTCCACCAAGACAAGACTGATACAAAGAATCTATTACAGTGCTGTCAATTCTTTAATTCAAAAAAAGGAAGCTTTTTAGGCTCTACAATCTCATCTCACTACTATATTATCTGTCTAGGATCAGACAAAATGATTTTTTTAAACTTTTAAAGAGAAGGATAGATGTACGGCAGGGGTTATATATTCATCATGACCTGAAATTTCTAAGATCCAACTGTAATTATCATTTACATCCTTACAGTGTGTCAGAAATGAATACTGAACATCTTGTTGGCATTTAATCTTCAGAAAAAATCCCCTAATATAGGCATGGTGGACCTAGTCTATAATCCCAGCATTCAGGAAACCAAGGCAAGAAAATATCAAGCTTAGAGCAAGCCTGGGCTCCCTAGCAAGAGCCTAAAAATATTCATTAACTAATTAATTAAAATAGCAACCACTGTTAATTATATGTTGTTTTGTCATTCTAAATATGTAAGTCTGTGTGTTCTTCTGAGCCTTGTAAATTGGCCCTGAGGAATAAATATCCCCCACAGAGAAATTGGCTTTCACATAGGGTTTCACATGTGAAGATCTGTAAGAACTATGGTCAGTCTGGAACATAGCTCCTCCCAGATAGTCTTTAAGCATTCAAAAGGCTGTTATTTTGATTCCATGATTTGAAGGAATCAAAATGTATATGGAAACAAGGAGTCTAACATTATCATGGTTTACTTAGCATTCACTACTCTTGAGGAAACAAAATCAGTATCATGACATTGGAAGGAAGAGATGACTCATGACAAGAACATATTAATATGAGGAAACTGAGTAACTTTCATAAATTTGAATAGCCCCCAGAACTGCCTTTTAATTGCAGGTCGAGTTCATAATGAGTAGAAACAGTTAAGTTATATGGTATGTAATTTCAAGAAGGAAATTAATGTATCATCAAATTACCTAAAACTAAGGGAAAAATATCATCATGCATAGCGACTCTTGCCTATAATCCCAGCTACATACTTGGGAAGCAAAGACTTGGGAGGATCCTGGTGCAATGCTAGCCCAGGAAAATAGTTGGTAAGAACCAATCTCATCCAACAATCATGTTGTGGGGAGTACACTTGTGGGAGCATGGAGGTAGGAAAACTGAAGTTCAAGGCTAGTCCTGGCACAAAGCAGGAGACCCAATCTAAAAAATATCTAATGCAAAAATGGCTAGGGTGTGGTTCAAATGGTAAAGGACAAGCCGAGCAAATGTGAGGCCCTTATTAAAACTTCAGTCCTATCCCCCCCCAAAAAAGAAAAAAAAAGGTAGAAGAGGGAGGAGGGGGAGGAGGGGGAGAAGAGGAGGAGGAGGAAGAGGAGGAGGAGTTGCTATCCATGAAAAAGTGCTCTGGAACAGACTAACTCATTTATTAATTGTAACATCTAAAGCCAGCAAAAAAGTAACAATCCTGCCTACCCAGTCCAGTGCAAAAAAGATAGTCAAAACTGCCATATTCATTCCAGATGGAAAGAAAGAAGAGAAGACAATGAGAAATTAATATTAGTTACAGTAGTCACCTTATACAAGTGTAATTTCCTTACCTTAGTCAGAGCTTGTCCTAAAAGATTCTCAAATGCTTTCAAATTAAGATAGGGACCATGATAGCAGGGATTACTTTGTGCTTTTCTTCCCAGCCAGTACAAGGTTATCAAAACCTTAAAAAGAAAAAAAATAGCATAAACAACATCAGTTGGTTTAGTAACTAATTCCAGCTTCAAATGCAGGTGATATATATATATATATATATCACCTGCATATATATATATATATATATACACATACTCGTATATATATATATATATATGATAACTCATATACTACTTTGTGATTGAAAGGCAGTCTTTTATATTTACTGAAGAACAGTCATTAGAAATCTTAATCATTCTTGCCAGGTTTTCTTGTTTCTGAACAAGTTCTCAGGTCAAAAAGCTCAGACTAGGCACCACTGGCTTATGCCTATAAACCTAGCTACTCAGGAGGCTAAAATCTGCGGATCACAATTCAAAGACAACCAGGCAGGGCAGTATATGAGACTCTTATCTTCCTTAGGCAGCCAAACTGGAGTTGTGGCTCAAGTGGTAGAATGCTAGCCTTGAGCAAAATGTTTCAAAGACAGTATCCAGTCTGTAAGTTCAAGCCCCAGTACCAAACCAAAGACAAGAGAGAGGGGTGAGGGAGAGAAATGATGCTTTGGCTCAAAGTGGTAGAGTACTAGTCTCGAGCACAAAAGCTCAGGAATAGTGCCCAGTCCCTGAATTCAAGTACCAGGACGGGCACAAAAAATAACTAAAACCAAAGCTTTCTATTAGACATTCTTCTATCTATATGTTAAACACATTATGAGTCTAGGGTGAACAATGAACTAGACTTCTTAAATATTCAGTGTTTTCCTTTTAAGTCCAACCTGAATGCTTCCTACATGTTCACCTTAAAGTCCTAAAATGATTTTGCCTTTCCCACAAAGTAAAATAACCCCCAGCTTCATAAAGGTCATTTAACATTTTATACCACATGTAAGTGTATTTAGAATTTCTGGCTGGTTGATTCCTAGGCAAAATATTATTTTTAAAAAACATACAATATACTAAGTACAATTTTTTATCTAATTCTTACAAAAAGGAAAAGAAAAAAATTGGTTTAGTGTTTCATCAAAGTAAATATATCTTACATTTTTCACTCTCCTATCAGTCTCTTCTTGCCTGTAAAGAAAAAGAAAATATCTATTAGGCAATGTCCATGGATTTTCCATTATTAGCTGAAAACTCCTTTTTATTTTAAGGTTCTATGATAAGGTTCAGACCAAATGATAATTTTTCCATAGCCACTGATACAATTAAATACATTGGTCACTCTCTACCAAAAAAAAAAAAGGTAATTTTTGATGCATTTTATCTATTATAGTCTGACACTTTAAAAAGCAATTCATTGACAGTTTGTTCCAGGAAAGTTAGAATGTGTTTGTGACTTTAACTGAGCATCACTGTCCCACAATACTGTGAAATTTGGGAAATTATGTAATCACTTAATCACAATAAAAAAATTTTTTTTAAGTAATTCATTTTAAGCACTGCTTAAACCCAATTGACAGTTTAAAAACAAAATCAGTCTGTGTTCATGACAGGAAATTTAAGATGCACGAAAAAAATCTTTAAAAGGAGGATAAACACATTTTGCATTGACTTTTCCCCCCATTGTTCACGAGGGGTATTGTCCAAGTTTCCAAGAGATTCCTGTTCAGAGACCATGACTCCACAGAAGTTGAAAAACTCAGTTTTTGAAAATATAGCCATGTAAAAAATGAATAAATAAAAATAAAAAATAAAAAAATAAAAATATAGCCATATAAACTGGGCTTTTGTTATTTTGTCTCCAATTAAGGAGCAAAAAGCCAGAAGTGAAGGTATGGCTCAAATAGTAGCGCACCTGCTTTAAGAGAAAAAAAGTGTGAGTACAAGTTCAAGCCCCTACCTACCAAAATAAACATGAACCTCCACCTGAAGAAACTGCACAATGTTACAAGACTCATCGGACTCTTGCTTGCCTGTACAATATTTATAGAACAGCTGAGAGACAGATGTCACCTGATGTTGAAGAGCCAACAGTATGCCATTTGTACAAAGACATAGGTCACATTACGAATGTTTTACATCGTGATAAACAAACCATCAGTGAACAAATGGCCTCTAGAATGGTTTCTCAGCCTAACCAGAAGTGGTAAAAAGAAAAATGTACACCATATACATACATACACATATTCCTTTTTTTTTTGTCAGTCGTGGAGCTTGAACTCTGGGCTTGACGCTGTCCTTGCACTCTTCAGCTTAAGGTGAGCGCTCTACTGCTTGAGCCACAGCGCTACTTCCGGTTTTCTAGTTGTTTATTGGAGGAGATAAGAGTCTGACGGATTTTCCTGCCCAGGCTGGCTTTGAACAACAATCCTTAGATCTCAGCCTCTTGAGTAGCTAGGATTATGGGCATGAGCCACCAGTGCCCGGCTACATATTTCTTTTTATAGTACAAACATAAACCAAAATGAACTTAAGAACAAGGTATACCTCCCACTTACTATTTTTTCTTTTTTTTAATCATGGGGCTTTTTTTTTTTCCAGTCTGGGCCTGGGTGCTGTCCCTGAGCCTTTTAGCTCAAGGCAAGTGCTCTACCATTTGAGCCACAGTACCACTTCCAGTTTTCTGGTGGTTATTTGGAGATAAGAGTCTCACAGACTTTCCTGCCCAGGCTGGCTTTGAACTACAATAATCAGATCTCAGCCTCCTAAGTAGCTAGGAATACATGTGTGAGCCATCAGCACCTGGCTTACCTCCTACTCACTCTCTAAAAGCATCTCACCAATAAAATTCACCAACTCTCACACTAGTGGGAAGTATGTAAATTTGTACATTTATATTCTTATCTCACTTGTATCTATTTAAGCTAAATATATTCATATTCTATGACCCAGGAATTCTATTCCTAGGTAAGGGGCTGCCAGCAGTGCTTATCTTTGTTTAGCTAGTCATAAACAAGAATATTTATAGCAACATTTAGATTAATACAAAAATCTGGATCATGTGCATAAGTCTGGAACAGTGGGAATAATTATGGAATATGTACATGATTAAATATAATAGAGAAAAAATGAGGATGAGCAACCTACAACTACATTCAACCATATGGTGCAGTCTCAGAAATGATGAGTAAAAAGAAAAGCTAAGCACACGAGTACAGATTATATGAATGAAATGAAAGAAAGTATAAAAACATGCAAAACAAAGATGTGCTACAAATGAGGACAGCGATTATCTTTGTGGGAGAGAATCATAGATAGAAATCATGGGCATGCTAATCATTTGTATTTTTATCTGGAAGCTGGCTAACCTAACTCTGTTCAGTTCCTAAATAAATCTTTGAATTTTACATTTTTAAGTTTGTGATTTACAAAGTATTATATGTACTCTATAATCTATTATATAACATATTATATAATAGTACATATCAATAATTAGTATACATTATGTATAGTATGTGATATATATTATATATTAAATACATACACATATGTATATGTGTAAATATATAAATATGCATATATGTACATGAATATGAATACATGTAAATATATTAATGTAAAGTTCATATAGGTTATCTATATTATATATGTCATATATATTAATATAGATTATACATACTATAATTCAAAAGAGTAACTAAAAATTTCACATGCAAAGGATTCAACTTATCTTCAGTCAAAACTTATCTTCAGTAAAATGAAATCATCTTGTAAAACTTAAGTTTTATTTTAGAAGTCATAAATCACACAGAAACTGACAATGATAAATAAGAGTGGTTAGATTAACAATCAACATATGTACCATAATATCAAGTTACCTTAAACACACACACACACAAATCAATATTCAGTACAAAGCTGTATTGGTCCCATAGTTATCCCATTTTCATAAGAACCTGAAATAGGACTTATTAATAAAGAAGCTCTCTTGAATCCCTGAGCTCCTTTCTACCACCCTCAATAAAGGCCAACACACTATCCTCTTTTGGTATCATGATATAGCAATCATTGGAAATACAAGCTTATTCTGTTAGACACAAGAGCAGTGACCTTGCCATTATTGCCCTTCATTCACTTTACATTCCCTTCTAAATATGAGCATTTACAACGTGCTTTTTGGACATGGTGATATATTGGCCAGCCAAATGAGTGCCCTATCACTCAAACATGACGTCAAGAATTCAAGTGGTCAATGATTTGTGGGAATAAAGAGTGCTCTCCTCTCCTCTCTCTCTCTCTGCCTCTCTCTCCTCCCTGTCTCCCTCCGTTTCTCACTCTTGTTCTCCTCGTCTCCCTGTCTTTCTCTCTCTGTCTCTGTCTCTCTGTCTGTCTCTCTCATCTCTCTGTCTCTGTCTGTCTCTCTGTCTCTGTCTCTTTCTCAACATCACTGCTTGAAGTCAGGAAATAGGCAGCAACTGGCCTGGAATAGCCAGCCACAGGGCACAACCCCAAGTCCTTTTAAATAGAACAGACCTGCGGGTAACAAGAGCTCTAGGAGCCTGCCAAGGTACTGCACAATCCATCAGAACCAAAAATAAGGCAGTGTATCTCCAAAGTTGAGTAACTCACTCAAAGCACGTGTGTCCCTACTGGATCGGGCATAATACCATGCTTAACAAGCCAGGTAAGCCGGGTGCCTGGTGCCTCACACCTGTAATCCTAGCTGAGATCTGAGGATAGCAGTTTGAAGCCAGCTTGGACAGGAAAGTCCATGAGACTCTTTTCTCCAAATAACCACCAGAAAACTGAAAGCAGTACTACGTAGCTCAAAGTGATAGAGCGCTAGCAAGCTCAGGCAAAGTGTCCAGGCCCTGACTTCAAGCACCACAACCAACTCTGTCTTACATACACACACAAAAGCCAGGCAGTTGGAGTCAAATCTGGTTCCCCACTGCCTGTATTAATTTGTGCGATTTCCTTGACACTAAAGCTTCAACTTCTTTCTGGTAAATTGTGAAAGTAAGGATAAATTGCTCCAGATTAGGAAGAATTGTCCTTAAAGTCGCTAGTTTACAGTCCTCTGCTGATGAACATTCATCAGTACAGACTGAGAACCAGTCCCTCCTATGCTCACTCTGCCCCATGACCCCCACTGTGCTAATGCTAAATGCAGAAACTGTCATCAAAACCTACCTGCCTACAACTCCCTCACTTCATCCTGCCGCATTTTCTTTTTGCTTTTATATTTATAACCATTTATTACAGGCACATTTGGGGGATCAGGGGAGGTTGCTTTGTTTTTGTTTTGTCTTTTGCACCAAAAATCCAAAAAGGTTTCTGTTCTGGTCTACTGCTATATCCCAAGAGACTTATGACAGGGTTTACCCACTCAGGTCATATAAAAACATTCATTTACAATGCCTAATAACATGGCACACAAATGTTCTCAAACATTGGTCAGATACATATATCTGAGTTACACAAACATAAGTTGGGGGGGGAAGCCTAAAATGATTTAAGAAAAACAAAACAAAGAAAATACAGAAGATCTTCAAAAATCACATAACATCAAAATAAACCATTAATTTGCATTTGCTTTCTTAACATATATCCAATTTTAACTAGGATAATACGTTGATATTCATAATAGGCTGCTTTAAAGCTGTTATCTTTAAAATTGCAATAAAAAGTACTCCTTTTAATCATCTATCAATAAGTTAAAAATGATAGATACAAAAACAAAGGCCAGTTTGAAGAAAGTAAGCACAAAACATAAATGCTACTCTCTCATGCAAAAGACCAGAGAATCTATACCTGCATCAAACCCCAAATACACTGTTAAAATGGATAGGTCAATAGTATTCAAAAATAATAGGGAAGAAAAACTATCCTGAATACTCTGACAACCCGTATTCTAATATTTTTGGATCATACTCAAACATTTAAATCCAATGCTTCATTGTGAATGCAAAATACCCAATATAGTTTAAGTATTCCATGCTACCAATTGAATATTGTAGTTTTAGTCATTCTTTTACCACCTGACAAAAGACCAAAGATACATGCCCTTCACTCACCAGCTGTCACCACCCAATCCTTACAGCTCTTCGGTATTCATAACCAGAAATTCTAAGGTTGAATCTCCTTATTTCACTCAAGAGACTTAAAAATACTCATGTGAGTGTATCAAG